CATTTCACATGAATATGAAAACGAAAGACGCAAGAAAGCGAAAGAAAAATCTTTTCATTTTTCCGGTATCCGTGTTTCGCAGAATAAATAGATACGATAGACGAAAGAGAAAAACTCTATACTGAATAGTCACATGCCGGATAGGACGAAAAAGAATGACGTAATGATTTCGTCTCATCTCTAGATAGAACACAAAAGACTATAGACATCGAAGTACTGATCACATCAACGTCAACAGCCTTTATTAAAAGGATCGTTCTTCTATATGACTTCTCATTATATGTTCTTTCTTGTGCGTTTATCAAGTGGCGCATTCTTTTTCGTCTATCATAGAGTGAAATAAAGTAAAGAGAGGCAAAAATGACAGATAATTGTCTGATTCGTCTTCTTTGTTTCTATAGGGGGTGTGTGATTCATCACTATATGGACGCCCACCATTTATTTATGTTTGTTTAGGGACTAGTGCAATATTACGCAGTAAAGTGAGAAGTAATAATTCGTGATGGTTGAAAACACGCTCTGTTTTCACGCAGTTACATTACATTCTGTTTTTTTTTCGCTTAAATCACAGTTAATTTTTACACTAAATAGCATGAGTTTGTTTTAGCGTTTTTGATCGGTCATTGATGCTGTTGTCAGTGACACTATGTATATTTCATGCTGTATTTTTTCAAAATTCAAAATCTTTTTTTTATATCGAGAAATTTTTCCGGACTCTATTTTATCCTTTAGGAAACTAAACTTTTTCCTCTATTGCTGCCACTTCATGATGTTAGAGTTTAGACATTATTTGTTGTTCAAGTCAAATATAATTTGGGATCGTCCGAATCGTCCACAGTTATGTATGAGCACTGATACCATAATGACAGGATTCAATTGACAATATATATAGTCTGAAAGCACTTTATATCAACTTTAGTTCGAATAATTCTGTGAATTTGTGGTTCGCTCGTGAACTGACATCCAACCTGCCACATCCATAGTTTACCTTATGTCATTGATACCATACGAAGTCCAAGGAAATGTGTTTTCTGCTGATTTTTCTAGAATTATGTGTGCGTGTGTGTGTAGCTCGGCAGTCCGGTTTATGTTGTTGTTTTTGTTCTTTTCGAAACGTTCGATACGTGTTACCTGTGATATTTGTCTTTTTTTCATTTTAAGTATTTCGCATAAGAAACTAAGAGTGCCATTTTTGTTTGAATGAGTAACTCTCAGTAGAAATTGTTCTAAAAGACAAATTCGTATAATTCAACAAAATATCTTTTTGCGTTCTAGACTAAATACGACATATATGAAATGATTGTTTATGACACACGTTAAACTTGAAAGTGCTTTTTAAAACACGATTTAATTATATCGTAAAAGTACACAACAATTTTTTTTCATTGAGACATAAAAACGAGAACTAATTCTTATATAATTCACATCGTTATATCCTTCTTTAATTTTTTAAAATGCGCTTAGTAACACCCCTTATTAGTCTCATAACTGTGCATTTTAAATAGCTGACTTAATCACAGGTATATATAGAATTTTAATTCAGAGACTATAAGGGTAATAGAACGAGGGATGAGTATGAGTACAAATCTTTTTACTCGATACTCGTTCATATTTTTTATTTTCCAAAAAAACAATAAGTTTAGGTGTAAACATAAGAGATTCAACAAGAATAAAAAGTAAATTTTGAGGAAAAGGTGAAGAAATGAACGTACTGATCACTAAAATGCTTATAATTTAGACAATAAATATGTGAAAAGATGTCGACGTTCTCATATGTATAGCAAAAAGAGACGAAATAAATAAACAAATACATAAGAAAAGTAAAACTACAATAAATTTGACTAAGAACATATGTATTAGAAAATGTAGAAAAAAATAAAAATATTTGAGGGAAAGAAAACCAGAGGTCGAAGAAGAAGATATGGAAAAATAATATTAAAGAGAAAAATGTATTTGTACTCGAAATTCATTAACTGTACTAGTGCAGCTCTGATGACTAATTTATAAAATAAATGGTTGTACATCGATCGTATTGTCATATTTATTTTTTACTTTAATTAGTTGAAGCCCTTGTCAAGCGCTAAAAGCTTGCATCTGCATAAGAAAACGTATAGTAATTGAATATATTGCATATACTTCATTTGTCTTATTTTGTTATTATCTTCTATTTATAGATAACTGTACATCTATTTGTTAAACAAAAAAAGAAACAAAAAATGAGTAATTCATATGTTGTTGAACAGATTTTGGCTAAACGAATAAATAAAAGTAGTGGCAATGTTGAATATTGTTTAAAATGGAAAGGATATCCGAAATCAACTTGGGAGCCAGCAAAAAATCTTACCAGTTGTAAACAATTATTAGAAGAATTTGAAAAAAATGAGAATAAAGCTGAAACATCAAAAGATAAATCAACATTAAAAAATGGCAATGAACATAATGATACATTAATTCGTCATACACGTTCTCATAATAAAGTATCTCAGTCAACAATATCATTAAATGGACGTCATAAACGACAAGAAAATGATGATAATTCAGAACATTCATCAACAACAACATCGAACAACAATGTCAAAAGTAATTCAAAAGTGTTTTCTTTTTAAAAAATACAAAATAGATTTTTAAATGTTGTACGAATTAACTCTGCTAATACTTTCAATTATCTAACTGTTCAAAATCAGATCTTGTCCCGCCCATCAGGTGTTTGTTACTTAACTTAAGTAACTTGTTTAAAAGTGGAAAGAATTGTAATTTTATGAGCGCCATAAAAAATAACAACGATATCTGATGTATTTCTCCAAGTGATCACTTACGAGGAAATATAGTCAACTGATCAATCACTTTTTTCATCAAACCTAGTGGATTATAGATTATCAACCACGTTGATTCCGAATATCCATATGAGACGAACCACTAGATCTTCCTAGAGAGGTTTTCTGGAAAACTGAGTTTCCAGAAACCTCGAAAAATCCCCAGAACTGTCTCTTAATAAGTCACGATTGTAGCCTACGAAATTCTGATCAAAATGAGACATCTCCCATCTCTACGTGACCTGTTATTGCAAAGTTATAGACTTTACAAGAAAAGCCCGAAGTGTTCATTGTCAGCACAAAGCTACAGAAATAAGAAGAAATTAATTTAGGGCTTTTCTCGTATATTCTATAACTTTGCAAAGAAAGGTCGTGTAGAGATAAAACCATTCTAGGAAGACCTAGCGGCCCATCTCATATAGATATTCGGAATCAGCATGGTCGATAACCTATAAGCCACTCGGTTTGGTGAAAAAAGCGATTGATCAGTTGAATATGTTTCCTTGTTAGATTTTTCATCGAAATTAAAACAAACTACTTTCAATAAACGTATATTGATCTTGTCTATTTTAGAAGAGCCTAGTAAACGCCATCTTGATAATATACTTAATAATAATAAAAAATCTTCAACATCATCGTCACGAATAGCAACCACAAGTCATGATCACAGTAATATATTTGATTCATAAATGTTTCAACTGTTTTCTTATTCTAATTTCAATTATTCTTTTATTTTATCGGTTTTTTTCTTTTTTTATAGCTAGTCAATCTCGAAAACGGCGTTTTATTGAAAGTATCAACGGTTCAAATGATATTGAAGAATATGGTGATAAAAAAAAGAGATCATTGGCAAGAGTAACATCAACACCCATTGATATCGTTTCTTCAAATGATCCAAATCCATTTGATGTGTTAAAACTTGAATTAGAACAAATTTTAGATGTTCGTACAATGAATAGAGATGGTACTTATTATTTATGTAAATATAAAAAAATGAGACCACAATCTCAATGGGTACATAAAAAACATTTAAATTCTGTTATGGGAAAAATTGTCGATTTTTGGGAACAAAATCATGATAACGATAATCGCACTTAACTTGTTTTGGATGGATATCCTATTTGAACTATAAATTGATGTGTGTATCTTTTTTTTTAATGGTATTACATTTTTCATTATTGTACGTTTTGGAATGAGAGGGATACGTTTTACCTTTAAATAGCTTTATGTTGTAAAAAATAAATACCGAAAAATCTCTCATCTATAATGAAATGATTAATATTCAGATGCTGATGGATCTCGGAAATAGTCATAAATCTTGAATTTTTTATTTCAAAAAATGTGAGCTTTTTTTAAGATGATCTTTTAACACAATCAGAGTTTTACGAAACGTAGTCACGGTTGTTTTCCTTGTTTCTTTGATAAAGAAAGTTCCTGTAGTGTCAAAAGTACGACTACGATTACACAATCTCAATATTATTACAAGATATGTAAAACCTTTGGAAATGATTTTGATAGCAAGAGTTAGCAAAGACAAGGATTATATTAAAATTTATTGTGACCGTATTGAATTTTCTTCGAAAACAACACTATCATGCTGAATTTTACATCTTTATTTCTTTTTAATAAAGGTACAATGACGACTGTCTACGCGTTCTAATGGTGGCTTTTAATTGTACCGTTTTCTTCTTCAAAACTTAAAGAAATAAAGGGTATGATGCTTTACAATGTGTACTCTAAGGAATGGAGTATATCTTGTTCTGTTTAAAACAGAATGTTAGACAATTAATCAATCATTTAACATTTCCTAGTAGATTATCATAATTAGACGCCAACTATCCTATGGGCAGATTGAAAACCCGGCCGAGTGGAACATATTAGACATATTAGACACCGCTTGAATCCCTTAAATACAACTGGAACACTGCAGTGCTCTACGGCTTGTCCAAGCGTGACGCTGTGACATTTTTGACACAGTAATTTGAGCTTTTCTCAAAAAGTGTAAGAGCTAGAAACTTCGTTCTTGTGCCATTCGACGCAGCTCACCATACTCTACTTTTGATATAAAAATGAAGGTATGTGGTTAAAGACTGGAATTTTTAGAACAGTTTTTCGGTGCGTGACGCTGTGACAAAAAAAGGCCCTAAATTCGAAGTTCCTCTCAAGTTAATTTGCTACGAATTTAGAAGAGCTAATAAAAAGCGCCTTGATCAAAGTTTGTTGAGGAGTAAACGAGCTACTGATTGCTATAAAAGAATCTTTCCAATGAGCTTTCCATCCCTCAATAATTGTGTTTTATCGTCGTGACGCTGTGATACACGTTTTCCCCAACAAAGTTTGGAGCACTAAACATTGCTCAAAGGATTTGATTTTCACATCGGTCTTAGTTTTAGCCATCTAATATAGACTAACGTGAAATAAAGTTGAAAAAATGTTTTCACTTTCTTAGAATTGTGTCAGAATCTTAAAACTTAAAACTTTATTAAAAAACTTGTTCTGATTCTAAACTTCAAAAGAAATATATCAACTTGTAGAGAATCGAATTCTCTATCGATTAGTGTGACCTTCCATTTTTATTAGGAAAAGCGTCATGATAAATTGAAAATATAGTTTTCAAAAAATGTAAAACTGGACTTCTGGTGCCAAAATTTAACTTTTCTACAAAAAATAATGTGAGATTCGTAATTAGCGCCAAAAACTGCATCTAGTGATATGCTCCTTTCAGTTCTACTCTAAAATAATTTTTTCGAAAACTTGATCAGCGAAGTCTCGAATACGTGAACAAGCCGTCTAGTAGTAAAATATATGATGCATTCTATCGGTAATAATGCTTCAGACCATAAATGCATCAAACTATACAGAAGTATAGACTAATGATAAGTACCACGTGACTACTTAATGAATCACTCTACACTATTCATACTGAATGTATATGAAGTGTCACGTGACAATTAATTATCTCATAAAAAAGTTATTGAAAATATGCTTAACTTTTGAGACTCATTACTTAACAATTAAAACACATATCGAAAAAATACCTTCAGATCTGTCATCTACAGGTGCTGTATTCTTGAATCATTTCTTTTACCAAAATCTGTACAATCAGGGACAGCTGAGAACGAGTGGCTGACTAAGGAAAAAGTGGGTCTAGAAGAATGAAGAATTTTTTGTAGTGAAACAGAATAGGCCTCTCTGAGTTTCACTCGGTCGGCTTAACTAGATGCCAACTACCATACGTTCAGATTGGAAATCTGACCGAGCGAAACGTATCTTAGAAACACTTTAGACACCCTTTGAATCCCTTAAGTATGGCTAGAACACTGCAGTGCTTTAGTAGTAAACATTCTATTGATAATAACGTTTTAGACTATAAACGCATCAGACTATACAGAAGTATAGACTAATGATAAATACCACGTGACTACTTAATAAATCACTTCACTCTATTCATACTGAATGTATATGAAGTGTTACGTGACAATTAATTATCTCATAGAAAAGTTATTGAAAATATGCTCAACTTTTGAGACTCATTACTTAATAGCTAAAATATATATCGAAAAAATAACCTCAGCTATTTCATCTACTTCTCTTGCACTCTCGAATGATATTTTTCCCAAATCTGTAGGATTAGTGATAGCTGAGAACGAGTGGCTGACTCGAAGCAGAAACTACAATGTCGAACAAAGAAAGAGAATTTTTTGTGGTCAAACAGAATAAGCCTCTCCGAGTTTCACTCGGTGGGGTTAATTAATTAGGGGTGGCATGTTACATTACCGAGGAAAGTAATACTGAAGGGTAACAGGAATATTCCATGTATTCCTATTGCTAGTAAGGGTAATACTGGAAAGTACTTCTACTCCCAGCAACAGTAATACTGAGAGGATTACTGTTGCTAGGAATAGGAATATTCATAAAATTAGTATTACTTTCCAGTAAAGTAAGACAAGAAACTTTATTTTCAAAAGAATATTCAGAAGATTTCGTAACGGGTGATTGGATAAATATTTCTACCAGAAACCTTTGAAAAATCAGGGAAACATTTTCTCTTTTTGCCCTGCTGAAATTTCTACTATCCTTTTCAAATGCGGCTGTTTGTTGAATAATTCAAGAATGAAAAGAGCTAGAGAATTCGAGTTTTCCTCATCCAAAAGAAGCGACTTTGAAGCATCTTTTTATAACAGACATTAATTCAAAACTTTGTGGTATACCAACAACTCTATTCGAAAGTATTATTTGTTTTATTGTATCCTATACTAGCTAGCTTATTGTTATTTGTAATGTCAGCATTTTCTTGTCCATTACTTTATACTTCATCATTTAAATTAGATATAGTTGATCATAATGTTAATTTATAAAATTCATTATCTCGAATATATTGTAAAGTTATTTCAAATATCTATACATTTTCGTTGACATGGTATGACGATATTGGTTAGTGTCATTTTACCTTACAAATATACCTTGAACAAAAATGATCTGATTTCCTTGCTTTTCAAAATCTTTTTATTCGTCTGTCGGTCAGTCTATAGGGAACAGAGTTTAGTCAAAACTCTTGTTTTAAGACAAAAATTTTGTGTTTATTTATTAACGGCAAATAATGTTTTGGTGAAGGTTTCACTTAGAGTTTTTCAGTCAACAGACTTTTGAGCACAAATTAGTTGGTGGAGGAGAGATATAATTGGAAGATATTCAAATTCATTCAGACCTTTTGATCTAGACGAAATTTTCCTACAGAAGTTTTAAAGAGCTGATGTGTTTTACCTTTTTGGATACTGACGAGCGAGGAAAATTTTTTCGTCACAATCTACATCAAATGTTCGAACACCCGCATGTAATACATTTTGCGTTGTGTTTACATAAGTCAGTGCGCCCTAAAATCCTCGTGCGAATAGCAAAAATCCCATGCCTTCGTCTTGTTAGGAATTATTAAAAAAAATGGTGGAACGCACGCGATTTTGACTTCGATACTAGACTAAAAGTGAGGTTCGGAAAATTCAAAATTTCAGCGCAATTTATCTTTGCGATATTCATACATGGTTGGACAGCGCTCGTTGGGCTGACTAAGATGTGTGTTTTAGCTTTTGAAAAAGCTTTTCTAACGACGATAATTTAAAAAAACTGAACTTTTTAAAAAGCCTAAAAACATGGCTTATGAGGGAAGTACCCCAACTGATAAATCGCTTTTTCAACGAAACCGAGTGGACTATAGGTAGTCGACGATGCTGATTCCGAATATCACCATGAATGCT